AAAGCACGAATAGCCAAGACCAGAATGTTCCAATAGCAAAGTCATAGTCAAATATACTCCGGTTAAAGTCCTCGTGTCTTAGTCACTCACCACCATATCTTGACATGTCACAATAGACCTTCAAAGGGTTTCCACTCTTCTCAGGGTCGATCCAATACTCCCCGTCTCCTTTAGAGTGTCCAGAGCGTAAAATTTCCTTACAGGAGAAGGCCGGGTAAGCAGGAGCCCAACCTCGCTTATCTGGATCGAAAGAGAGAAGAATGATCGTTTGGAACGAGGAGAGGATTAAACTTGGAACTAGGAAAAAAACAAATCACGTAGCTTTTGGTCCTTTCGCGCAATCATTAAATAGCTCTTGATTTTGGAAATCTTTGTAGGATCAATAGCATCTTAGTTTAAAGGTGGGACCAAAGAAGATTGACTGCCAATGATGAAGATCGATAGAACAATCTGGAATTAATCTTATGGAGGGATTTGGTAAATTATACTGTGACAACCAAAATACTCCAACGCTTTCCCCCCCTCCCCTTCCCCTTCACCCAGGTGATAAAAATGTCACTTGTCCTTGAGGTTAAGCACCTTACACAACAATACCTCTTCCATAATAAGTAGAACGTGGGTTACGCCTCAAGTTTTCCGGACTTGATTTTTTGGTTTGGTTACTCAGTTGACATTCCTTCTTTGCATCATTAACATCGGACTTGCTGTTGTAAGATTGGCAGTTTTCATCTTGAAGGCATCTCAATCCACAGCTTATTTCGTCAGCGTATAATGTCTTGGTGATGTGACCAGTTAGCTCAAATCCTGGAAAAACAACACAATCGTGTTTCATATTATCATCAGAATAAAAGTTTATTTTGGATACTTTCATAAAACAGTTTGTGTGTAGTTGTTCACCCTGTTTTAAGAGGTTATCTTGATTCTTGATATCGTACAAAGGTGAATATGAAGAAGCCCTAAGAGTTACGAGAGTTGAGCGTAGAAAGTTTCAGTTGTTTTTATCCGACCCCATGGCCAACAGAGTATAAAGCGCGAAGAATGGAAATTGAATGCCAGTGAGGGGGATTTTAAGAATGTTACAGAGCCTTATGGGGAGGGGGGAAGGGAACATGTCAAACAGCCAAAATCTGTGTTATCCGACTTTTCGCCCATGGCACTTGAAACATTCACATCCCGTCGGAAAATAAAACCATTGTGTTGGGAGGTATAAAACATTCACGTGTTACCTTCAACTCTCTCGAAAACCTCGTCCCTGCTCAAGTCAGTGTGCAAAGACGAACTGAAAGCCACAAGAAATACAGCAACACCACTCAACAGAACGGGACAGAAATGGAAACCAACTAGAAGCCCTCT